GGTTATGTGGTACAGTATAATATTCAGATATTTGTTTACATTGTGGAATTAAACCAAATTAACAAACATATCCATCACCTCACATACTCATCTTTTTGTGATTAGATTATGTGTGTCCTTTTTAATCAATATCCTAGGGATGGCTAATTAACAATTAAAGTATTCTGTTAGGGAATATAATCTCCAAGATATATTATTTTGAAAGATTCTAAATAGATATCCACGTTTCAGAAAGCTTCAACCATTTTTATGTCCAATCAACAGCAAGACTATATGGATTTTCCTTTGGTTAAATAAGTAGTGTTCATGATGTCTGGATTGGCTAGAAATACTGTACAAAGGCCATCTACACGTGCACGGATGGACAGGATATAGAAATATAGAAAACAATGTGCCTACCCTTTGTGATGGTGCTCTTGGTTTAGATTCCCAAATAGAAGACATGTTCAGGAAATTATCTGAGGATTATTATTTCCTTACTTCAACTAGAAGATTTGCTGAATCCTGCCCCCAAAATATTGTTTCGTGCGTATACAATAAGCGTGTCATGCAAAGTTTGGTTGGAGTTCGTAAAAGAACAGGGAGTTGGATCTTCATGAACGTTACAAAACAGTTTGTATAACTGTTTCTGACTGCACTTGCTACCATTAAGTATTTGCACAGGCACGAGTATTGCTTACAACATAACATTGCAACAGTTGCAAGTTAAGAAGGTTGTGTGGTAAAGAAAGTGAAAATATTAGATCATGGTAAACAAATACTGTCTAGGAACAGTGAAGGGGCATCGTGCCAACTGGATTCCTGAGTTGAAAATCATCCTGCTCCAATAATTTTCAGACTATCCTCATTCGGGAAGGAGAGAGGGGGCCCTTGTATGTGTGGATTAAAACAAGTAATGGGATATCTGAGACCTGGAAAAGGTAAGGTTAATCCTTCTCTAGTCCTATTCCATGCAGAGACTTTGGATGTCTCCGTAGCATCCACCAAAGCCTTCAGAAGCTTGACCTCGACCACCCTGTAAAACCTGGGTGTGGGAGAGGGATGCAGTTATTTGCCAAAATGGTTGGGAGAGGGACAGAAATCTTTCCTCGGGTAAAATCATTCTGTAGTTGCTCAAGTAACCACTAATAATCTGCTTCCTAGAAAGTTCTTCTTGGCTCACAGATTTAGGCATCAATAAATAATAATAGGCAACATTTATGGAGGGTCATCTTCTTGTGCTAAGTATTTTACATACGTTATGTCATTATGTGTGTACATTTCCATTCAACCCTATGAATGGATGTTTTTAGTTTTTATGTCTGTTTTATGTATAAGGAAAGTGATGTGCAGAAATCATATGAATTAGGTGTCTGAATGCGCACTCGAGCTTACCTTTTCTTTTTCACCACCTGTATGGCTAATCCTCTAACTGGCAGGAATGGGGCAAGTCAATTTCAACACGCGAGTCTTAGGCTAAATCTGTTTATAGGAGTTGCCCCCAGAAATGGAGTCAGGATCTCCAAACCCTAACACATTTTAACGCTGAGGGTCACAGAACTTCCAGGGCTCCTTCCGCACGAACCACCCTTACACAGCGAACCTGCTGGAAAGGACGAGCCTCTCTTGTAGATGGGCCAATGACATAGCTTGCTCTTGTGAACGACAGGTCGTGTGGCCAATGGGCTCAGCCCCGGCGGCCTCGAAGAGCGGAAATTGGCCCTGGAGCATGTGGGCCCTGGGGCGTGGATTGAGCGCCGTCCTCTCCTGAGGCCCGTGGAGCCGGGCGAGTGGGACGAGGACTCGCGCTCAGGTGAGAGGACTGGCCCCGGTTGCGGCAGGCCAGGCAGGCCAGGCAGGCCAGGCAGGCCAAGGTCGCACCGGGGCGGGCAGGGTGGGCTTTTGCTCAAGCACGTGGGGTAGGCCGGCCTCCCGGGCCTCTCCCCTCCCCCTTCGGGGAGGTGCTGAGAGTTGCGGGTCGGGCGGGGACGGGAAGTCGTTATTCGAGGCCCGGCGCTGAGGCCCCAGAGAACGTGCTCAGGTGGGGGCGGCAGGGGAGGCCCAAGTGGACCTCTTATTTGGCCTGAAAGAGGAGATAGAACCCCCGGCAGGGCTGTGGCTTTGGGAAAAGGTGCGTTTCTCGGGGTGGAAAGGGGGTGGGACTCGCCTTCGGGGGCCTTGCTTCTGGTTAAGCCCTAGTCGTGAGGCCTCTGCACGGAGCGCGCACTCAGGGATGCGAGGGAGACAGGCCCAGCCCATCCTGGGTTCCTTTCCCGTTGAACCTTTCGGTCAGCCAAGTATCTGCAACCTGATCCCAGGGGAAACCCACACTGGGAGAGGGCCCTGTGAGGGAGCTACCTGAATCTATAGAAGTGATGCTGGGGGTTGAGGGAAGCGTGGACAAAGAGGAAGATTCCAGATGTCACTTAAGGGAGGCTGTCCAGCGCTTCTGAGTATGTAACTGTTAACATACTGATAGCTTGGGTTTCTTTGGGTGGTGTTGAGGAGGTGTGAGCAGAGTCCTGGCTCAGCGAAAAGGGGTGTTAGCAGTTAAATATAGCCTTCAGAAAGGGAGTCATAGCTTACATTTAGAGTGTGAAAGAGGATAGTTTAGTTCAATACATTTTTCAGGTTCTTGAACTGTCTGCACTATGATGTGGACTTGGGAATTGTGTGTTAATCTTTTCTTTAAATGTATGTGATTTCTCTGTAACTAATACTTAAGACAGCTTTTTAATTTTATTTTTGTTTGTTTGTTTTGAGACGGAGTCTCACTCTGTTGCCCAGGCTGGAGTGCAGTGGCGTGATCTCTGCTCACTACAACCTCTGCCTCCTGGGTTCAAGCGATTCTCCTG